GATAAATGGTGCATGTCGGGTCATGGATCTATGACGTCACATGTGATGCGTTCATGAGCATCGCTTCACACCAGTATGGTACCAATATGTTCATTTGCGCATCGAACCAATGATATCTCTTGAATAAGGAGTAAGTCTTCATATATTGACCAACATGTATGGTATTTGCGTTTCTGTTGTCAGTGAGTATATATACTAGTTTCAGAGATCCACATGCATTATGTAGGTATAAATCGTATAATAGTATTCGCGTTTCTTTTGTCGGTGAGTATATATGCTAGTTTCAGAGATTCACATACATTACGTAGGTATAAATCGTATGGTATTCTCGTTTCTTTTGTCGGTGAGTATATATACTAGTTCCATAGATCCACATACATTATGTAGGTATAGATTCGTTGTCAAACCTGTATATGCTTTCAGTTGGGAAATATAAGTAAGTGTTGGGTGCAAACAGTATTTGTCCAAAACCTGCTGTTCGTGGGTTACTGAGGCCGCGTGATACGCCACGATTTTATTTGGGCATAGTACTGGTATTTATTGTAGCTTGTAATATCAAAATATTGTTACCTATCTCCCTGGTTGTATAAATATTTCAGATTACCCTCTTCTATATCGTTATGACATGAAATTTCTAAAGTCATGGTGTAAAGGAATCTGTCCCGGGTAACGGGAGACAACTCTGTTTGGTTTGCTCAGATAATGATTTGCATGGCGTTGTATTGTGCCATAATTTTATAACTCTTCATAGTGTAATGTATTTTCACTCACATTTCATTTATTATTATTCACGTATAATTCCTTTTTATCCATAATTGATAATGGTACATTCTGGAGTATTATTCTGAAGGATGCTTATACGACATGGATAATAGAGTTTATATAAAGTCATTTCCATGCACATTCTTGAAGTTTAAGTACTATTCTTGTATCCTTAATAATGCATATAATTTTTATTAACATAATGTATGGTTCTCCTGTTAATTGAATTTATATATTGAGCCTGTGGATTATTGTGTCGATCACTAATTATTGTGAAAACAGTTCATCAAGGCTAGTGATGAGATAAATAACAGAGATAACCACACAAGCAAACAGGTACTCTATTGTAACTATGCCCAGTATAGTATAGAAGTTCAATGTGATATCGTTTGCACTAAACACTTACCAGTAAATTTGATAACAATACATTTTGCCATGAATTTACGAATACAAATTTCTCTTTGTGTTTTTCAGTCAATCTAATCTAAACTGGGGAACACATGCTTATTTGTCAATCTGCAAAATATGTATGATACAAATACTCACACCATATGTACGAACACATACGTTGATAATATCCCTACTTGTACTGGATTGAAGATATGCGACCCAGTTCAACCACATATCTGACATATCTGTGCGATCTGATCCCGGATGTGGCAAGCCGCCACAATCGTAACTGAGGCGTGTCCTCGACAAGCTATACACAACTATGCTTTGTTTGTTTGTTGTTTAACGCCGGTTTAACCTCACTGTGCCCTCACCCCAAATGATTAAATGCATAGGGATGATTAAAATAATATATGAGTGATTGATGTCAATCTTGGAAGTGTATAAAATGGCATTTGCAAGTCATACTGCCATAACAAAATGGCTAATGCTTAAGTAAATGTTCGGTTTGTTGCTAACGCCCAAGGTGGACAGAACTTAGTTCTCAACGGACACAGATTCCGAATTAAGAACAGAAGTAACACCACCATACATTGGCGTCCGACACCACAAGTCCGACCTTGTGACATAGACAACGTTTAGCTGAATGCATTAGAAGATGCTGATCTTGAAGATGCAAGAGTCCTTAAGTTTGCGGATTATGTGACAGAACAGTGAGTGGAAGCTGACAGGAGAGACGCGTGGAACCATTTTAGGACCATGGGTGCCAGGACAACCAATCACTTTGAAGGCTGGCACTCCAAGCTGAAGAAATCGGGCCGAAATCATCCAAACATCCTTAAATTTATTGACATTATCAAGAATGAACAATCACGTTCAGAGACATTATTGATGCAAATTAATGCCGGAGGAAGACTGCCACCAAAGCAAAGGAAATAATTCCAAATTGACGACAACATCCTGATAGAGAAGGACAACTTGTTGACTGGCAGACTGACACCAATTGAATATGCTGACGCTGTGGCTGAATATGTTGGATTGTGAACTGAATATTTCTGCTGTAAAGAGAATTTGAGATGTATATTTATTTATGCAATACGTAATCTAACAATATGAAATATATGAAATTTTATGAAATATGTGCTTCTGTAAAGTGAATGTATTGTTGAAATGTATATGAAATTTTATGAATCTGACAGATAGTAATTTTCTCTATACAGACATGCAACAGACTACAGGTAATACCTCTATTGTTACCCACTTTACCACGGCTGACTACACCTGTAGGGCACAGCGAGGTGTTCCCTTAACGCCGCGCTCAGCAATGTTCCAGCTATATGACGGATGTCTGTAAATAATCGAGTCTGGACCAGACAATCCAGTGATTGGTATCATGAGCATCGATCCATGCATTTGGGATACGATGACATGCATCTACCAAGTCAGCGGGTCTGACCAGATGATCCAGTTATTCGCCTCTTACGACAAGCATAGTCGCCTTTTACGGCGAGCATCACTACTATGCAATATCCAAATAAGAGCTGCTGTGAAGGCAAATATGTCCATGCTGATACATCACATACCCACTTTTATTCTAAAGAAAATGATGGTATCACTTTTCATAAATTCTCCATTTTCACCCATGCATGGATCTATACCATAATATGTTTCCGTGTTTTTCTTTCAGGTAAACAGTTGACATGCCTTTGAATGTGTTTATGACGGGTGCGACCGGTGAGAATTCTTGTGAATAGTGAAAGGGTTTTGTCGCTTTTCTTTGATCAATTTGCACACGAAACCTCTTGTATACAAACGAAATTCACAGATGTTTTGCATATACAGTGCATGATCGATCATACGCAGAATGTAGGACTGCGTTACATAAGCCGAAGATACACGTCGTTGATGTGTACTGATTACAGTTATTATAGTAAAGGTATAAACCAAGTTTTAGGCATGGTAACACAAAATTTACCAACAATAACAAAGACAATGTTCAGTGGACATAATGGAAAAGTGGCTACATGACGCAATTAGTCCATCCTAATCACGATAACTGCTACGTTAGGCAAAGCAATGTCTCCTATTTAAAAAATGTACTGACATTATAACTTTACTGTTGATTTAAACATATTTATTCACAAGGAGTGAACGGGATTGGGGGACAAGTTCTTCCAACTTTACTGTTGGAACTATATATATATGACGCAACCGAATGTCCGATATTGCTTACTGTACTAATGGAGGTATATGTGATCTCAATAAACTTCGTAACATGGTTTAAATCATTTCTTGGTGTGTGTCTGAGCACATATAAATGGAAACCGTTACACTCCTGTGTCTTGGTCCAAAGAGGTCCCTGCCCCAGTGTAAACATGTCCTACATTAATTGATCATGTGATCTGAGACCAGGATGTGGCTTACAAAACTTGGACTGAACACTGAACCAAGGATTGCTACATGTAACTACTTGGTGTACCAACGTAAATGGATATTTTAAATTTTATGTTCATCATTTGCGTTTTATTTGGTTCGAACTTACAGCGTGGCCGAAAAAACAATTTGTTTTTGTGACGAAATGTTTAACTAGGTGTTATATTTTAGAATATTTGTATTTTTATTAAACTTTGTATATGAAGCAAAGCTACTTTTTCCCCGTTAGGATATATGCGCATACTACAACAAATTGGAAAGAAGTCCTTCAACAGAAGCAACAAGGTCCACTTCCACGACCTGGGCCTCTCGGGGAATGACAGTGACACGTATGTTCCTACTAAGGACATATACGTCAAAGAGACAACAACATGAAAGATCAGACGCCTCAAGACCATCATGGAGATGCTTGGACATACAAATGTACGTACACGTGAATTCCACAACTGTCATCTACATGTAGTATCATACCTATATACAAGAATAATTTCAATTTCATACATAATGGATTGATGAAAATCACCAACATCACGGAAGATAAAAAAAAAATACTGGAACATGACTGATCACTGACTCGTGGAATTCTCCCTTCTTAATTTAAGGTTGCGTACGATTACAGCTTGTTATCCAGTAAGTAACCGGGTAACAGTATGATACCCATGCTTGCCGCAAGTGGCGGCTAACGGGATCGGGTGGTCAGCACTACAAGCACCCAGGCCACAATTCGCTTTCTGATTGGTTCCATGGGACGATGATGCCAGCCAGTTACCTCTAATGGTGGCCATTCAAGATATTGAGAACAGATGACCTTCACCTTGGAATTTTAACGTTCTCTTAGTGCCATATGGAATCCGAGCCAATTACAATGATATGTGTCAATTTTGAACAATCGATTACAATCTGTTGATCATTTATATGATAAATAAACTACTAGTATACATCTTAAATCGCTTTTGTGGGATTTATTTGTGCAGAAAACAAAAATCCTGCACAACTTATAATCCTTATCACACGATAATTTTCTGCATTTAAACGGTCCCCCTTATTTTTATATATGAAGCATATAAACCTTTTGAACCAAACGGCAGGGTGTATCAATTAGCCACAACAATATAATAACTCGGCTTTATTTGCTTGTTTCGAAACTCCCTAAATGTATTCGTTTTTGAGATACAGAAATCAGATATGCTTATCTGAATGCTTCGTTCACGTGTATCGAGAATTTAGAAAACTCGCCGCTAATTGGGTAAACAGAACGTTCATCTGACGCAACCTCATGATTTGTCAAATAATTCACAGGAATTATCCACGGATTACAGAAATAGAACACGTGCATATAATTTCCAATATATTGCCGATCATCGATATTCCTACCTTTGTAAATAGTATATAACGACTAGCTGCGTTAATAAGTGAGTCAGTGGGACACCAGGGAAGCGTTGAGTACACTGCGCAACGAGCACACGGAAGCTGCAGGCTGTCACAGGCTCACGCAAGTACAATCATTATGGCTGTCGGAACGAAGACTGTGGTCATAGTCCTTGTTGGTGGCGCCTTGCTTGCTGCCGTAATTCTATATAGTGCTCAGGTTAGGATTGGAGAAACAGGAAATACCATCATGCAGATGATTTCAAGTAAAGGTAACAAACATATCCACATCATACATGCAATTGTGGGCATTAAGAAATCACGACAACAGGAACAAGGCTAACTTTTATCAGAAGATAACACGCGAGCGACATTTGAGGTCAGTGTGACCTTTATAAAAGCAATTTTTTCCCGTTTACCAGATAATATTGTCTGTACGATATCAGTATTTATATAATCGTTAAGTTAAAAACAGATAATTATGTTATGTCTGGAATACCGGAAATGTAGTTCTTATAGTTGCTATATGGTTAAAATATGTAACACCTCACATTTGTCTTGTTAGGAGCCTGTGCTATCTGGATACACCAAGTGTAAATTTGCGCAATCTATTGACGTGGTTACCCTTCTTCGTGGGTGCAGTGTCACTGAGACTCAGTTGGACATTCGAGTATATTATTATATAACTCTAAGATGTAAAGACATTAAATTAATCCCAATACAAGGTTTAAGACTGCTTAGATTTATATGTAGTTTCACTTTCTAACGGTATTATTTGACTTACTTTGCCTATTTCCTTTAGATTGTAACGTAATAAATAAAAACTTTAGGTTCAGCCGGGCGGTATTTACACTTTTAGCTGTCCCGGTAAGGAAAGTATACAAGATACCATGTGGATCTTACGACTAGAAAAAGCGTTATGTATCAGAAAGTGGTGTAGTGATATAATTTTAGTTATTGTCTAGGTATAATACAGAAGTAACATGTTATTGTTTTCTGTTTTGCAATAGTAAAGTTAATTTGCTCTCACATTATTTGTCTTTGTAAACGTATCCGTCAAACCAGGGTGATGTAGCCGAAATATATGTTTTAGCTATGTCATGATCAGTTAAAATATGATCTAGTGGTTACTTAACCTTTCTCGCAGAATTCGAGAGGCTTATACGCTTGGTTTTGCGAAACAATATTGTAATGGCTGGCACAGACAAAATGGAAAATATGCTTCTAACTGTGAAAGTATTGACGCTATGATGTACTGAGGTAACAGCCTACATACATCTCTTCAGCTGCGATATTTTTTCACAAAATCGATGGAGGGTGTTCAGCTTGATGATAAAAAGTTTGCAAACTGATAACAAAATCGACTTCGTAACAAAGCATGATTCCATTTGCAGTTGTTAAGTGAACAATTAATTATTTATCGAAAACTGCATTTGCGCGGTTTAACAACACTATGGGTGCAGCTTTCCCCTTTAATAAAGGCAAATGAAATTGGACATATTGATTTTCATGGCTAAATAATAGATGACATTGATCGCTCCTGTTCAGGGAGTTCATACGTTATATCGAGATTTATCAGTCTGGATGTTATCTAGATTATTTATAAGGCTGTTATACTTGACCCCTGTCGGTTTCTGGATTTCTTCCTTACCACGCTTTCCGTATGAATAATTTACTCAGACGTTCTTTACAGGTAATAATCTTGTGCCGCACACGACCATATTATGTATTCACGGAAGATACCTGTAGTGTATTGTTACAATAAGAATGATTCTATTTTAGATTAGTTTTGATCATATTTGCAATAAGCATACTGTATTAATTTGACATATGTGATATTATTCTTAATTGGGGTTAAACTGACCTATGAATGTTGTTCATGTGTATAATTATCAGCCTAGTATGATTTCCTTGGTTTTTTATTTCTTTTTTAAACATATTTTATTGACACAAAATGGTCAAATGGATTTGACGAATGTTGTCCAACTTTCAATATACAAATCGACACAGCAGACTATTGTTAATATTGAACATACAAGGAAAATATAAGGTGCAAATACATATACAGTGCAGTCCCTCCTTGGAAATAGTAACACAAACAATAAATATTAATCATAGACTATTGTTGTCAGCAATACTGTATCATAGTCATCTGCAGAGGTTATAAATTGGAAAACAACATATGTGAAATACGAAATGTCAATGATTATAAATTGCAGTGAACCCAAATGTTTAATGTGTTTTCTTTTAAACGATACGGGAGTATATTTGCTCTTTTATCACCAGCTACGAAGAAACGAGGCGGTTAAAGTATATCTAGTTGAAGTGCCTACATTCAAAACATGAACGTTTTGAAGAAGGCCTGCATTCGCGAGAAAGGTTATGATTGTCAATGAAATTGACGGGGTTTATAATAACACAAACTGTGCTGGTTAAGGTTGATGCTCAACCACAGGTTTCATTGTTATAGTCAATATCAGAATCTGACTGAAATATTATTCCCAAAGTCATAAATATTAATTCCTTTCATTTTAAGATTAGGTTTTGCACTTGGGAAGACTTTAACGTAAAATTGAAAAGTTTCTATTTTCTCTGGATTCAATTTTATTTACTTTCATCCATTTGGTAATTTTCTCCAAATCGGCATTGATATTTTACGCATTAGTATTTGGAATTGTCCATTTGGGGAATTGTCTGGCCCCCACCGCAAACATAGTAAACTGAAATTCCAATGTGAATATTATGTACAATAGTTTGTTGGCTCGACATGCAAGACTCCATAATTTTAGTTATAATGTTAAAGTCAAAGTAATATTTAATTATATTTTTAAAAAAGTCATCAATGTATTTGACAAGAAAGACTAAGCGACACACATTGTATTTTATAATAATGCACAATTTTGAATGCTTTAAACCTGTTGCATTAAACAAATACTGGATTTGATGTTGTCATATCATGAATCAATATGTGTCTAGTCTTCCAAATGTTCTATTGCGAACACATATAGTGTCAGCGCTCATGATTGCCATATCTATGAATGAATGAAAATATAATCATTAATAAACTTACCTGAGATCACTGTGTGTTCTGAAGACAAATCGCTGTAAGGCACCCTGAACGGCTTCGTTCACGTTCACCCTCAAATGTACGATAGAAATGTCTGCGATTGTGCCTGTTCAATATTCGAAAGCGTTTTTGCGACAGGCGTTCGCTTATTTATTAAAATTCCACTAAATTTATAAATCACATTGAGTTGCTCGCCTCTTCTCCAGTTGCTCACACTCTCCACTGATGCTAGCTGCCTTGGTTAACTGGAGTCCGGATGTAACTAATTACAAACTCTGTTCTTATTATGCTAATCGAGGAAGTGCATTATTATACTGGATGACAAACTTAGTAATCCTTTCACACTAATCCTTGTTTACAATGAACGCATGTCAATTGACTAAACAAACATCCTTAAGTAGAAATATCACAATGGACGGTGTATACAACTGTTTGTCAAACAATATCAACCAATATTTTATAGAAGAAGAAAATATTTTATTAAGGTGTCGCATGATATACATACAGTTAAAAACAATTGTTGTATATCATCCGGCCGTTATGGCCTAGGGGACACCAAATATCTCATAAGTACAAGTAAAAGCACATAGTGTGCTAAAAATATTTTATACCGATATTTTATATTTAGAATCAACATTACATGAATTAACAGAAAACATAAATATTAAATTTTACTTTGAAAACTCCAGAACTAATGTCGTGAATATGTTTCCTTGTACAATTTTAAATTAATGGATTTTTTATCTATTTATATTTTGCAATGATCGTGACAATCGCGAAAAGGCTACTCTCTTGTTATTCCGCTTATTGGTTATTCTAGTTTAGACAGCGACAGCCTCTCGTTATACAAACAGTGCTTTTCTAAACCCCGACCTAGTTAAAACAGCGACAGCCTTTCGCTATACAAACAGTGCTATTTCTAATCCGTATTTAGTTAAAACAGCGGCAGCCTTTCGTTATACAAACAGTGCTTTTCTAACCCCAATTTAATTAAAACAGCGGCAGCTTTTCGTTATACAAACAGTGCTTTTCTAAACCCCGACCTAGTTAAAACAGCGACAGCCTTTCATTATACAAACAGTGTTTTTTCTACCCGCGATCTAGTTAAGACAGCGGTATTTTTTATATTATTGATCTTTAACTAAAATCTGCACATATGTTCTATTTCTTATGTAAAATGCTGTCAACATAAAGAAATACAAATTATTTCATAACACTCCAAATATAGTTGCCATAATAAAAATAGTATTAAAGTATTATTTCACGTGCAATAATACTGTTCGGTATCATTAGTAATATTTTCAATATCAACTACAAGCAGTGGTAAAATCTATCCATATATACAAAATTGTATATTTTTGGATATACCAACTATTCAAAATTGTATATTTTGGAAATACCAAATATACAAAATTGTATATTTTGTATATATTAAAACATATGAACAGTGTGGAATGACAATGATTAGTATGTATCTTTTTAGTAAGAATACACATTAAACGTCCTCCAAATTAATCTGGACGAAACAGACAATTTCTAAATATTTATAGTGTGCTACAATCTGCATTTGCGAACCTCTATAATGCCACGTCTCAGTTTTGCTTAAGTAACCACCATTTCTGAAGACAATAATATTAGATTAAGCTATATTAACCGCTGAACCCCATTTATTACAAAACATATCAAGGGCATCCAGCTTTCTTTGCAAGTCAACAACACTATCATACAATTAAAGATATATCATCCTCAAACAACAATGATAAGATTTCATCAATATCATGTGAAACAGAAAATGCTAGCTCCTTTGGTATAGTCATTGATGAAAAAAGATACACAAAACTGGACTGAGCAAACAGCCTTGACGCCCTCCACATGATGTACTGAATGAACCTGATTTTGTTCTTCTCTAAAACAAGCTTTAACTTTACTATACGTACTACTTAGTACATTGTACACTTTAACATTCACATATTCTTAAATGTAGGATATAAAGAGATTTTTGTCTATCTACCAAAGCAAAAGGCTTTTCGAAAATCTACAAATGCCACATAAAATCCTTTTAATGATTACTCCTGATTCGCCTCATCCATAATCTAATTTAACCACATTCTTATTCTTGTTTCTAGCACTGAAGTAAATATCGTACCCATAACACTTAACAGAGCGATACTATTATGTAGGTCTGTCACTTGCCTCTTCTTAAAC